AGAGAAGATACAGAGGGAGGAGATCAAAGCACAATGGACATTAAGACCAGTGAAAAGGGGTTATATTTCAAGGACACCCCTTTCTGATTAGTAGCAGTCTGCCAATCAGAAGATAGACTCACTCCCATGCTTAGGTGAAACATGCTGTTTCACATTTGAAACAAATGAGAGTGTTACTGAAAGAAGAAAAGAGGTGGATGGGTTAGGAAGGCGAGAAGCAGAGTGAGCAGGGTAAGAACACTGTTGAAAATCCACAGATGCCCTTCAGCTCAGCTTGTTGAGACAGTGAGCTCCCTGCAGGGCTGCAGCAGTCTCTCAGCCAAGCTGGCCTTGGCTCCTACAGGAAACCAGGATGCACTATGGAACAAACTGTTTTTATTTGTTTGTTTAGTTGGCTTAAGACAGCCTCACTGTAGCCCAGGCTGGCCTCAAACTCTTGGTGCTCCTTCATCCCTTCACCTCCCAAATGTTGGGCTTACAGGGACGGAACACCACACCCCACTTGAAATACTCTTCATAAGCCTTCAAAATAAAAGCGAAAACTCCCCAAGCCACAGTAAAAAAAATAGACAGTAAGGAATGAGTAGGGTTGCGTGACCCTGACACCAGCCTTCTACAAGTACCCCCAACGAAAGCCTGAAGGAAAAGGAGGCTTACGTTGTGTTTATACAAACTGTTTCCTCGGCTTTCCCAGCTTTCAAAATTAAGGCTCTTTTCTACTTTTTATTTCTGAATGTAAGACTACAAAGAATTAAAACTTTTCCTAACAGAATCTCAACAGAAAGGATTATTATTTGCTTGGTGTTCCAAGGACTGGACAAGCTGTCTTCCTGTTATAAGTTCTGTCACTACTCCAAAGAATGCAAACTCCAACGTGAGCCAAAATCTAAAATTGTATTTGCACACTGACATGATACTATGGTAGAAAATCCCACGTCAAACTGTATGCGGTAGGTCATAGCCAAAATGCAGGCACGCTGGGAATGTATAAAGTTACTTTCATAGTGTGTGTGTGTGTGTGTGTGTGTGTTTACAGGAAACATAACTAAATTTTGTGTATAGACTTGGATCCCTTCCCTGAGATATCTCATTTCATATATAAAAATATTTCAAAAGCCTGAAACACAAGATACTTCTTGTCCCAGGCATACTAAGTGAGGATATATAACCCAGGTTTCATTTGTTTTCCATAACAACCGCGTAAGGAAAGCACTGTCTGACCTACTTTGCAGGCTGTGGACTGAAACACCAGATACTTCTGCTGTGTAGCAGACAGCCCTGTAGTGGTAGAGGACCCTGGGGTTTCTAAAGCTCACAGCCCTGACTGTCATTACTTTCATGAGCTGGGTGAGAAATCAGCAGAGAGGAGGCACTATTAGCATGAGATACGCTGTTAAGTAATACAAGGAGCATGTGGACAGCAGGGTGGTATGGGAATAAAATACCGACTGTGAGAGGTGATATAAATAATAGTGTTATTATTTATAATAAATAAAGAGGGTGCAGAGCTATTCGCATAGTCCAAGCACGAAAGAGGGAATGCGGCCACAGCCTCATACAACTGAGGAGGGAAAATGGAGAGATATTTTAGCTGAGGTGGCAATCACAGCAAATGCTCTTTCCCGTCACACCATACGGGGCAAGAAAGAAAATGACCAGCATTACACAATGAGAAGGAAGAATCTATTTGAAGACCAAGGGACAAGGTGGGGCTGTCCAATAACTCCAAAGCTTTGCAGTGGAGCAGGTCAACTGGGTAAGTCACAGCTTTGAAGGGAAGAAGATAATAAGATACTGAAATGGAAAATGTGCATTGGAAAGTATGGAACACAGCCCTATTGTGTCTCCTAATAGTGTCTGCTATTAGGAGAGTAATAGCAGACATAGAAACAAAAGGTTGGAAAAGCTTGTATCTTAAATAAGAGAGATGGGCAACAGAGCAACATGACACAGAGGAGCAGGGCAAGGCAGGAGCAACTGAGAACCTGCATAAGTGAGGAGGCCAGATGCAGAAGCAAGGACAGCCCCTGGCATTTTATTCATTCAGCTCAGAACTAAGAAGGAAAGAAACATTTTATTGATGTGTGTCAGAACACTCAGACACACTTGATGGGTTTGGCTGCAGAAAATGGGGAGAATTAAGGCTACCAGTGGCGCAGGTGTAACAGTGCAGTCCTTTCTGCCACCCGGACCATTTTATCTCCTAAACATGCTGGGTCTCCGAGCAGATGTCGTCTTTTTGACTAGATCGGCTTGTAGAAATAGAGGAAATCTGCAGCGGCCTGGCATGGTTAAAAGCTCCCCGCATTTCTACCCACACTTTGTAACTGATAGGTTGCCCAGAACTTGTTGGCGTCTTTCTCAAGTCCTCCTGCAGTTGTATCTACTCACAGTCCATCATCACTTGACGGTGACCAACTCAGTCAGGTCCTCCCGGCTGAAGCGCTACAACCCTCCTGATCATGGTGGTCTACATCACCAAGTGTCATGAGCTCTGGGTTGGGGAGGCTGACTCTACCGCCATAACGCCACAACACTACATTTTCATTGTCATTTCTCCTAACTTCTAACTTCTCCACATTATACTTCAACAAAACAAAAACCCCAACCAAACAAATGAACAACAACCACAAAAAATTTGTTTTCCTCTCCAGTGTGTAAAAATGTTGTCACACTTGCTTTCAAGCTCCATGCATATTTTGGATGGAACAAATATCTTTGGCACCCTTTTCCATTTCCCAGACAGCTGGAGCAGATCCGAGCTTCGGAACAAAATCATGTATTGCAACTGTTGCTGCTCCCCTCCCCGCCTTGCTCAGGTCAATTTGCAGTTAGTGTTAAGTCTGCTCTTCTGGAATGCTTTCCCCCTATTCAGAGGTATGGGTTTATCTTCCCTTTCTGCAAAGCTGCCTATGCTCAAGAAACTTCCTAGGTCCCAGCGTTATGTCGCTTTCCCATAAAGTTTATGTCACACCATGTCACCCACTGGTTATTCTTTATCAGAAACAAGTTCAGAGCACAAATGCCCCTTCATGCCTATCTCTACATTGTAAGACACAAGTGGCCAACAAGTATGATCCCGTATTCATTCAGTTCTCTGTGTGATAATGAAGCTGACTGGATTTTGAGGCAGCATGCCCTATTGGTGCCGCGTCTTGCCTCCATGGATACAGCTGCCGAAACTATCACCAGCATCTAACAGCCACCCTGGGATCTTGCAAGAGCCTTCATTTATAAACGACAAGGCAGGGTGGGGCTGGCTAAGTTACTGCTACTAATAATAACAGTGAAGGGAATAAAGGTTCCACATATGAAGAAAACCTATACACATCAGAGGGTAACCACAAAAATGGAGTAAGGGATCTAGGAAACTGATAATCCATTCTTCTATTATTTTTAGAAGATGATTTGGTTCAATATATGTCTCTACTTTTCAAGCACATTTCCTGTTTATAAAGCATAGCTTTGTTATATCTATTAGCTTATGGTCCCTGTGCTGTCGCCTTGACATCAACTCTTATAGAAAACCAGCTGAGGAACAGTCTCCTGAAATCTCTCCTTTTCTACCTCAAGACTGAGAATTTGCTTCCTCTGCTTGTTCCTACAGCGTATTTTTAGCTCCTTAGCCTGTGTGGCGCTCCATCTACCTGTAATTATGCTGCAGAGGCATCAGAGGATGCCAATGAAAGGCTAGTTTCAGACAAGACGGCAAAAGGCCTACTCGTGGTCATAATGGCTGCAGCAGATCAGGGCCTGCCTGGCAGAATGCCCACTGTCTCCAGCCAGGCTCACAAACTCCCAAGAGCTGGACTTCCTTTCCCATGAGACTCCAGTGTGGAGTGTGATCTCACTCTCCCAGAGTCCAGGAGGAACGGACAGAAAGAGCGATAAGGAAAAGGCAGGAGAGGCTTAGCATGATGGAGATGGCCTTTTTACTCAGCCCTGGAGAGCCTGGAGGAACACCACCCTGCTTCTCAAAACAAAGCAAACCAAGGCCAGATGTTAGCTTTAGCCCCAGTTTGGAAATACTGCTCATTAGTTTTGAATTTTCTTTTCTTTTCTTTTCTTTTCTTTTTTCCTTTAAAAAGAAAAAATGAGTAATGAATCTGAGCTCTACCCAGGGCAAGAGAAATGAGATGCTGTCACGCAAGTCATTCTGAAGACAAGCTCTCTAGCAGAGGCTCAATGCGGTTATGCAAAATCTCCTTCTGTAAAAGACCATTACTGTCCTAGGATAAATACAAAGGGCCCTTAGATGTAAGCATTTACTGCTGAAAGGTGATTTGAGGTTTCTACTCTTTCCACAATAATCTTGCTCTCAGAGGTACTTCTGGCTCCTAAGTTTAAATCAGAACTTTGTTACTGAGCTGATATAATGTGATTGCAATGGAATAACACATTTATATTCTACTCATCAACACTGATACAAAATGCAAATTTACTATGGAACCTCGTACACATGCACCCTTCTCTTGAGGTGCCGGAAGTGGGGGTGTTCTTACTTCCAATGAGAGAAGGGCGACCATGGAAAAGATCTGCACCTTGGAGCTCCGGGTGCTCGTAAAAACAGAGGGTCACCCTCTCTGCAGGAGCCAAGCATTTACACACACACTCAAGATGAGCCTGGCTTGAGAATTACATTTCTGACAAATGATGTCGGCTGATTTCTCTTATAGGATTGACTGGCCCCTCACAGGCTTGTAGGAAGATGAGTACTCTTAAAAATAAATAAAGAAATAAATAAAAAAGATCTAGCCATCAATTTTTCTTAAATTCATTATTTTATTTCTCAAATGCCAAGTCAAATTTTAACCAGATGATGTAAATTTTCTCACTCGTATGCAGGCATTCTAGAAGCACATACGAATACTGACCAAGAAGGTGATCAAGAGTTTAAGCCATAGGGTCTTACGCACCCCCACCTTTAACCCAACACCCTCCACGGCTATGGTCAAGGAAGAAGTCTTAGCAGTTAAGGCTCTCAGAGCAGCTGTACTCACGGTTGACAGAGTTTCACCAGGTCCTGATCATTGGTGTTGGGGGGCAGGCCTCGGATGTAGAGGTTCGTCTTGCTCAGCTGATCCCATCCTGAGTTGCTACTGCTGCTGCTGTTGTTGTTACTGCTGGTGGTGCTGGGACTGGGAGGGGCCATGGGATGCGCTGGAACCAGAGACTGCTGCAAAGCAAAGCACACAGAGTGTCAGGGCAGGGGTGAGGGAGCAAGCACCACTCAGGGGTTGTGTGGGCTCTAAAATGAAGACCCCCCAAGATTAAGCGCAGATTATCCTGACCCTGCTGTGATGTAAAATTTAATTTACAGGTGAAAAAAAATCTATTGATTTTAAGACAAAAAAAAAATGCAAAACCAAATCCAAACAAGCCTCTCGACACGAAATAAAAGAATTTTCCTCAGCAATACCTGAAATGTGGATACATTTACAGATAATCAATTTATTCACATGTTTTAAGGAACAAATCTCCTGAGACTCAAAATTACCTTGCATGAAGTCACATGATATTGTCATCTTAATATATAGTAAGTTAGAAATCACTAGGCTTTTGAAAAGGCTTTCAGATTCTGAAGACTATTTGATTGAGAGCAGCTGATTATTTAGAGTACCCTTTAAAAAGAGACTATTCTTAATACATAAGGAAAGTTAGAGCTTTGGCCAGAACCTCAAACTTCTAAGCTAGCTCCGGTGGCTTCACGGAGACATCTGGATGAGATTCGCCACATGCCGCCTTTCACTCTGGCTGACCTTGTGAAATTTAACCCCTGTGAGAATGCTGTGGCAGTTGGAGACCTTCCCAACAGGGCATCTTGGAAAACCTGCAGCCAAGGGTTTCTCAAGCTTTGCTCCCCAGTCGGCCAGCCACCTAGGAAGAGCGTCTACAGTATGAATACCAGATACGGCTGCTCTGTGGGCTTGGGGAAGGGACCCTCACCTCTCTGAGCCTATGCCCCACATGAGACTTCTGAGGAAGCTAAAACGGCTCGTCCTGAGGACAGTGAGTAGGACCAGCGCTGTCCTCACACCCAGTGCACAGCAGGGAAGGAATCCTCTCCTCTATTTTTTTTCTAAGCAATAAACATAGTAAGACAAGAACAGCACTTACACAAACAGTTTGGACACATAAACTTAAGTACTTGTTAGACACTCAGCAAAGATTATCAAATGTTGATGTCAGGCATTTACTCCTACAGACAAAAATGTAAAGCATACAGGAGAAAAATTAAGCTCCACACATACAACTCTCACTTATCTTGCCAGCAATTTCGGATGCCCACTGTAGACTTTGCCTTCTGCACCTCGTTTCTGCTAATTCCACAACAGCTTAACAAGCTTGAGAATTCAGTAACACTTTCTCTTTGTCCTTTACCTTCCTCCCTTTGTCCAGAGTCCCTGCTAAGTTAACACGCAAATACCACTTCATCTAAAGAGACTCTTTGGAAAACGGAGTACCTGGAGGAATGAACAAATAAGTGAGGAAATTCTACTTCCTAAGAGCTGAAATTGAACTAGGAATACTAGTATTGCCTAATCCAAAACCAAAACTGCCCTGCCTGAGATCACATCCTTCCAACCTGTGATTCATGCCTTTCACAGGCAAGTGAACTCACATGCTGTCTCCACACCCCAAGGACTGGGTATGACAGTAGTAGGCCCTGTGCCCTGCTCTGCCCAGGTGTCACACAAAAGTCTGTCTCTCTTTGCTCGGGTCTCTCGGTATTTCCATTTACCCATCTTTTTTCTTCTCACAGCTAAACTGAGGTCCTAGAAAGGTACATTAGCCCATCTCAAGCCTCTGACCAACAGAGAACTTGCAACCATAGGCAGAAGTAGGTAAGACCGAATTTACTCCTAAATGTCATGTGATCAGCACCTGAGCTGCCACCGCAGAGCACAAGGCAACTGATCAACACAGGATATTGGAAGCTCGATGCTGAACAGCATCAGGGATGAAGGGTGGGGCTGTAGTTCAGGGGTAGAACACTTGCCTAACTGAGTTCTGGGTCAGATACCCAGGGATGACAACTGGAGACGTAGAAAACGGTTGTGGTTTGGGCCCCTCCCAGCATCTAGCATCTTTCTGAGAACACAGCAGGGACAGGCCTATGTGCCAGCAGACTTCTTAAAATCTGCATTCCAATCCAAGTCTGGGTCCATGCTAGCCCTGACCTTGTCTGGTTCTGAGGGGGGCATGCTGGGTGTGGACTTGTTCTGATTGGAAGAAACATTTGAGTTATCATTAATTTGGGGACTATGTGGAACTAAAAGCAGGCTCATGTATTTATTGTTGACAAAAGAAAGAGATCTAGGATTTGTACTTCTGAATTTATAACCCATCTACAGTGTGATATCTGACAGTCATTCATATTTATTTTAACAGTACTTCCCCAGTGAGGGAAGCAGCTGGGCAGCCTGGGTCTTCCTGTTGGGCTGCCTACTAGGCTACAGGACCTCCTAGAGTTCAGACTTCAGAAAGGGCGAGAGTGTCCCGAATTCACACGAGGACCATGAGGCTGCTGAGTCCTCTACAACACAAAGTTCAGGTTAAATTTCACCTAAATGTCAACACTCCCCAGAGCTAAGTAAAGACAGAGAAAGACACCTGAAGGAGAACTAAATATTTTAGTTGAAAAAAAAAAAAAGATTAACGTTTTAGAACTTACTGAATCTGGGCTGGGAATACAGCTCAGTAGTAGGCATGCACAAGAGTTCATGTTCACTTCCGGGAGGATGGGAGGAAGGAAGGAAAGAGGGAGGGAGGGAGGGGGGAAGAAAAGAAAAAAGGAATAAAGAAAAAGCTCACTGAATCTAAAAATGTAACCTCTACTGAAACAGTACAAATACAATAGAGATCTTACCACAAAATATTTATAAAGGATTGACAATGATCTAAAGAACATAAACACTAATACTCGCTGAGTACTAACAGCATAAATAGGTGCCCACTTGCTCAGTGCTACATGCTGTGTCCTGCTTTCTGTCTAACTCCATAAACAGACAGATACAGCTCTGTTCTCTCACTTCACAGATTAGGAAAGTGTGTCTTACGACCACTTAGCTACTGTGCGATGACACACGGTAAGTAGGGGCAGGGCTGCATTTTGCACTGAGATCTGACAGATAGCAGAGTCAGAACCTTCAAAACCTCAAAGCAGCCTCCTCCAAACACCTCCTCTCTTCAACACGCCATCCTGCTTTCCTTCACTTTCTATACCCATCCTCTAGCAACCTAATTAACAAATTCTTGCTATTTTGTGGTGTGACTTTTTGTACCACTGGCTGCTATGCTGGAGCAAAAGGTGCCTCTCAGTTAGTCCAATTAGCACACTGTGAACTCGTGGAGGTAAAAAACCCCATTAGCCTGAAAAAGAAGGATTAAATAAATCCTGCTTTATAAACTGTTCCCCTAAAGAATGGATTCTGAGGGTGAGGGTAAAAGCTTGACATGCACACGGCCTTAGGTTCACCTCCACACTGCACAAGAAAGGATAAAGAGGGGTGAATCTTTTGTTCTTATGAAACAGGGGTCACTATGCAGCCTCAGGCTAGCCTCAAGCACATGATCACTGGGTCTCCCGGGCACTGGCACTGGAGGTGTGTGGCACCACATCCAACAAAAAGAACGAATTCTGACAGCCACAATGGAAAACATTATGGAGGTTCTTTTAAGATTAAAAATAAGAGGCTAGCATGGTGGATCACGTCTATAATCCCAGCACTTGGAAGCCTGAGGCAGGAAGATCCAAAGTTTGAGGCCAAACTTAGGGTATATAGTGAGATTCAATAAAAGAACAAAGCAAACAACAAAGAAAACAGAGCTCCACATGCGACAGCTAAAGGAAATAAAACTAGTATGTCAAAGCAACAGCTACACTTACTTGATTACATCACCAATTTCTGACTAGTCCCCAAAGCTACAAAATGGTAACAAAGAAAATGTCCATTAAGTGATGAATGGGTGAAGAAAATGTTTACATATACAGACACTAGAATATTATTTAGCCATTAAAACTGACATTGTATTACAACATCATGAGTGGAACTGGAGGTTGTATGTGAAATAAGTAACATATGAAAATTATGCCAATCACAAGTAAAATCTGTAACAGGATCTTGCAACAGGATCTTGTTGACAGTACAACACAGAATCCAAATAAAGCAGACAGGAGGGGGCTGGGGAAAGGTTTATAAAACAGTGCAAAGCCAGAGTACTGACAGCATGAGTGAACTGTACATTTCAAAGGGTAGAAAGGAGTTTGAAAAGTTTTCACCATCAAGAAAGGATTTTTTGAGAAGTTTATCCTGATTTAGAAACTACACAATGGGCACATATATTATGAAGCATTAATATGCACAACTGTGTATTTTAATGTATCAGCTAAAATAATTTAAGCGGTAACTTTTTTAAAGTGAATAATTCACTGATCTCATTGGAACTATTAAAATGAAAGAAGGGCTCATGTCTCTCTAGTGGGTAAGGAAAATAAAGTAAATAGAGTTTTGATGGCCTGAACTTAATTTGTATCATAGGTAGGGATTCTATGGTGATTAAAAAAACACCATGACCAAAGGCAACTTGGGCAGAAAAGGGTTTCTTTCATCTTACACCTTGTATGGTAAGTTAGGGTATGAACTTAAGGCAGAAACTGACGCAGAGCCCAGAAAGGAATGCTGCTCCCTGGCTTGCTCAGCACCTGCCCAGGGGTGGCATGGGCCGCCATGCACTGAGACTTCCCAAATCAATCAGTAATTAAGAAAATGTCCTACGAACTTGTCCACAGGCCAAGCTTACAGAGGCATCTTCTCAATTCAGATGCCCTCTTCAAAGGTATGTTTAGGTTCGTGTTAAGTTAACAAAACAAGCTCACAGATTTTGCTTGCCAAAAATTGATAGGAAACCAAACCAGTGGAGGATAAACAGTGGTTGTAGTAACAGATGCTCTGCCTTCGAGAGTAGATGACATGAGCTCAAGCTTTGGGAGCACTCAGGAGGGCTTCCTGTGTGGACCACGGTCCAGGAGCACTCCTGTGAGTGACACTCAGGGAGTACTTTCTGCACCCTGCCAGGAAGACCGTCTAGGAGTTCTTCACTCACACAGGACTGGCCAGCAGGCCAACGGGAACCAAAGTTCCGTCCTGGGCATCCTACAGCCTGAACAAACAG